TTCCTTCCTTCCTTCCTTCCTTCCTTCCTTCCTTCCTTCCTTCCTTCCTTCTCTTCTTTCCCTTCTTTCCTTCTTCCTTTCTTCCTTTTCTTGCTTTCATCCTCTCTTTCTTTCTCCCTATGCAATTTCTATGTGAATAATCCTATGGTCTGCAAATAAGAAAATTTTTCTTTCTTTCCTCCTCCTCCCCTCCTCCCCCTCGTCTTCTCCTCCTCCTCCTCCTCTTTCTTTTTAAGTATCACATTGGCTAGGACTCACTACAAGAAGTTATGAGGAGCCCCTGGGTGGCTCAGTTGTTAAGCTTCTACCTTCAGCTCAGGTCATGATCCCAGGGCCCTGGGATCGAGCCCACATCGGGCTCCCTGCTCAGCCAGAAGCCTGCTTCTCCCTCTGGCCCTCCCCTGCTTTCTCTCTCTGTCAAATAAATAAATAAAAATCTTAAAAAAAAAAAGAGAGAGAAGCTGTGATAACAGGTACTCTTGACTTGTTCCTGACTCTAAAGAGCACATGCGTAATGTTTTACCACTAAGTATCATGTTTTCTAGAGGTTTCTGATAGATACATGTGGAAGAGACTGCTGGGTGCCCTCCCTCCCCCCAAGAATAGGTTCTCTCCTTTTTTCTGAGTAGAATCTTTAATATTTTTAGGGGTGAGAGGAGCAAAGAGAGAGGGAAAGAAACTTCAGCAGGCTCCAAGGCTCAGTCTCACGACCCTGAGATCATGACCTGAGCTGAAATCAAGAGTCGGACACTTAACTGACTGAGGCACCCAGGCACCCCAGAATTTTTAAATTCTATCTGAGGACATGTCTGCCAAGAAAATGCCTGCATTTCCCAGCCATCTTCGACTACGTGAGGGCACATAACTTAGTTTCTGCCATGGGGATGTAAGTGGAAGTCATACGTGCAAATTTCAGTGTATCCTAAAGGGGAAACATAACCACTTTCCCCTTTTCTACTTCCTGCAGCCTGGAATGCAGATGTGATGACTGGAGGTGGAGCAATATATTGGACTTGAAGTAATCTTAGGAATAAAGATCACACAAAACATAATATGATAGAAGGAACTTGCCTCTGGGCTACCTAACTAGTCTTTTATATGAGAGAGAAGTAAAATTCTATATAGTTTTGGAGTTTTCTGCCACTAATAGCCAAGCCCAAGCCTACAACACTCTTTATCAGGATGATGAGGTTGTAGTCCATTCTCAGCTTGCCAGTAGTTTTTCTTTTTTCCATAAATTACACTTATTTATTTGAGAAAGAGAATGTGAGTGTGGGGAGGGGCAGATGGAGAGAGAGAGAATCCCAAGCTGACTCCATGCTGAGTCCGAGCCTGACTGGGGAGGGGGGTGGGGCTCGATCTCATGAGCCTGAGATCGTGACCTGAGCAGAAACCAAGAATCAGACGTTTAACTTACTGAGCCACCCAGGTACCCCCATAAATTGTACTTTTATAAATTTCTCATTTGTACTAATGAGGTGAATTACATTGACAGATTTTTAGTCATCCTTGGGATTCTGTCCTGATATGCTTTTAGAGGTTACAGATGTACAAAGATTTTATTTCTTACTTTTCCTAAGGTTTTCAAATGAAAAATTATAAACGAGAAAAGTGGGCCTGCACAGTGAACACCCATACATCAACCACTCAGAGTCTACAATTAACATCTTATTATATTTGCTTTGTACCTTGTCTATTATGATGTGTTTTAAATGCATTACTTAATTCAGTTAGGTAATATTTTAAAATATTTATGCATGTGTTCAAAAGTAAGAATAACTAAATACTTTCTTTTTTCATATTGTCTTTGTGCAGTTTGGGTATCAAAAGTATACTTATAAAATGAAGCAAAGATCTCTTCTATCTCTTCATTGAAAAAGACTGTCTAATACAGGAAATAAATTTTGAAGATTTGGTTAAACTCACCTATGGAGGTAAGTACTTGGTTAGCATGGTGCTTTTTTTAATGGTTACAGTTTTGTTTTTTTTATTGAAGTATAGTTGACATAAACTGTTATATTAGTTTCAGGTGATATAGTGATTCAACAAATTTATATGTTATGCTATGCTCATCCCATGTAGCTACTGTCTGTTATCATACAACACTATTATAATACCAGTGACTATATTCTGTATGTTGTACCTTATATCCTGGTGACTTATTCATTCCATAACTGGAAACCTATACCTCCCAATCCCCCTCATTCATTTTGCCCATCCTCCTACCTCTGCTCCCCTCTGGCAACCATCAGTTTGTTCTCTTTGTATTGTATTCATTGTATTCTCTTTGTATATGGGTCTGTTTCTGCTTTTGTATGTTTATTCCTTTGTTTTGTTTTTTTTATATTCCACATATAAGTGAAATCGTATCTGTCTTACTTCACTTAGTGTATTCCCCTCTAGGTCCTTCCATGTTGTTGCAAATGGCATGATTTCATTCTTGTTTACAGCTGAGTAACATTCCATTGTATATATATGCCCCATCTTCTTTATTTACTTGTCTGTCAATGGATACTTGGCTTGCTTCCATATCTTGGCTATTGTAAATGATGCTTCCGGGAGCATAGGGATGCATATATCTTTTTGAATTAATATTTTCATTTTCCTTGGATAAATACCCAGTAGTAGAATTACTGGATCATATGATATTTTTATTTTTAATGTCTTGAGGAACCCCCATACTGTTTTCCACAGTGGTTGCACCAATTTTCATTCCCACCAACAGTGCAGGAGGTTTCCTTTTTCTCCATGTCCTCACTAATACTTGTTGTTTCTTGTGTTTTGGATTTCAGCCATTCTGACAGGTATGAAGTGATATCTCATTGTGGCTTTGATTTGCATTTCTCTGGTAATGAGTGATGTCAAGCATCTTTTCATTTATCTGTTGACCGTCTTTGTGTCTTCTTTGGAGAAATGTCTATTCAGGTCCTCTGCTCACTTTTAATTAGATTGTTTTTTTGGTGTTGAGTTGTATAAGTTCATATATTTTGGACATTAACTCTTTATCATATATCATTTGCAAATATCTTCTCCCATTTAGCAGGTTGCTCTTTTGTTTTGCTGATGGTTTCCTTTGCTGTGCAAAAGCTTTTTATTTTGGAATAATTCCAATAGTTAATTTTTGCTTTTGTTTCTCTTGCCTGAGGAGACATACTTAATGGGTACAACTTTTTAAAATTACAGATTCAATTTATTTAATGGGTATAAATAAATATGAAGATTGCCATTTCTTTTTCAAGTCAATTTTACTGATTTTTTATATCTCTAAAGAACTGTCCATTTCATTAAGTTGTCAAATTTATTTGTGTAATGATATTCATTGTATTTTCTAGGGCCTTTAAAAACTTTGACTATTTGTAGTCATGTCCCTTTTCCCCCACTTTTTCACTTTTTCTGTCAATCGATTTTGCCAGGTTTGCCTATTTTATTAGTCTTCAGAAAGAACGGGCTTCTGGGTCTATTGATTCCTTCTTCTTTTTTTTTTAATTTTTATTGTTATGTTAATCACCATACATTACATCATTAGTTTTTGATGTAGTGTTCCATGATTCATTGTTTGTGCATAACACCCAGTGCTCTACGCAGAATGTGCCCTCTTTAATACCCATCACCAGGCTAACCCATCCCCCCACCACCCTCCCCTCTAGAACCCTCAGTTTGTTTTTCAGAGTCCATAGTCTCTCATGGTTCGTCTCCCCCTCCGACTTACTCCCCTTTATTCTTCCCTTCCTGCTATCTTCTTCTTTTTTTTTTCTTAACATATATTGCATTTTTTGTTTCAGAAGTACAGATCTGTGATTCAACAGTCTTGCACAATTCACAGCACTCACCATAGCACATACCCTCCCCAATGTCTATCACCCAGCCACCCCATCCTTCCTACCCCCACCACTCCAGCAACCCTCAGTTTGTTTCCTGAGATTAAGAATTCCTCATATCAGTGAGGTCATATGATACATGTCTTTCTCTGATTGACTTATTTCACTCGGCATAACACCCTCCAGTTCCATCCACATCATTGCAAATGGCAAGATCTCATTCCTTTTGATGGCTGCATAATATTCCATTGTGTATATATACCACCTCTTCTTTATCCATTCATCTGTCGATGGACATCTTGGCTCTTTCCACAGTTTGGCTATTGTGGACATTGCTGCTATAAACATCGGGGTGCACGTACCCCTTCGGATCCTTACATTTGTATCTTTGTGGTAAATACCCAGTAGTGCAATTGCTGGATCGTATGGTAGCTCTATTTTCAACTGTTTGAGGAAACTCCATACTGTTTTCCAGAGTGGTTGCACCAGCTTGCATTCCCACCAACAGTGTAGGAGGGTTCCCCTTTCTCCCCAACCCCACCAACATCTGTCATTTCCTGACTTGTCTAATTTTAACCATTCTGACTGGTGTGAGGTGGTATCTCATTGAGGTTTTGATTTGGATTTCCCTGACGCCAAGTGATGTTGAGTACTTTTTCATGTGTCTGTTGGCCATTTGGATGTCTTCTTTGGAAAAATGTCTGTTCATATCTTCTGCCCATTTCTTGATTGGATTATTTGTTCTTTGGGTTTTGAGTTGGATAAGTTCTTTATAGATTTTGGATACTAGCCCTTTATCTGATATGTCATTTGCAAATATCTTCTCCCATTCTGTCGGTTGTCTTTTGGTTTTGTGGACTGTTTCTTTTGCTGTGCAAAAGCTTTTTATCTTGATGAAATCCCAGTAGTTCATTTTTGCCCTTGCTTACCTTGCCTTTGGTGATGTTTCTAGGAAGAAGTTGCTGCGGCTGAGGTCACAGAGGTTGCTGCCTGTGTTCTCCTTTAGGATTTTGATGGACTCCTGTCTCATGTTTAGGTCTTTCAACTATTTGGAGTCTACTTTTGTGTGTGGTGTAAGGAAATGGTCCAGTTTCATTCTTCTGCATGTGGCTGTCCAATTTTCGCAACACCATTTGTTGAAGAGACTGTCTTTTTGCCATTGGACATTCTTTCCTGCTTTGGGTCTATTGATTCCTTATTGATTTCTCTCCTTTCATCTCTTTCTCTTCTTTTTGTTATTATTTCTTTTCTTTTGCATTCTCTGTTCTAATTAGCTTTTGAGGTATATGCTTCCTTCTCTTCTCTTATATGCATTTAAAGCTCTAAATTTCCTACTGAATATTGCTTAAATTGCGTACCACACATTTTGGTACTAGTGTTTTCATTATCTGGGCATTTGGTAATTTTCATTAATTTCTCTCTCCTACTTAATAATTATTTAGAAGCTGCTTTTTTAACAGATTTTATTTATTCATTTGAGAGAGACGGAAAGAGAGAGTGAGAGAAAAGGAGCAGGGGGGAGGGGTTCAGAGAGAGGGAGAAGCAGACTCCCCGCTGAGCAGGGAGCCCAATGTGGGTCTCAATCCCAGGACCCTGAGATCATGACCTGAGCTGAAGGCAGATCTTAACCAACTGAGCCACCCAGGTGCCCTATATTTAGAAGCTTCTAACATGAATAGGACAGTGTAGCTATTATATTGATTTCTAATTTTATCTCATTGTTATCAGAGAACATGTTTTATATGATTTTGGGTCATTAGTATTCATTTGGAATTTGCTTTTTGACATATTACAGTAAGTTTTTATAAATGTTTCATGTGTGCTAGAAATAATGTGTATTTTGAATTTTGGGTGTAGGATTACTTATGTTGTTTATGTCTTCTACAACTATGATTTTTGATTTACACACACATATACCCCCCACACAAAAACACATTTGAGGTTCCAAATGACTATTTATTCAATGTGAATTATTCTATTTATCCTTGTATCTTCATATAATAACCCTCCTTTTGACTGAAAGTTAAAAAATTGATATTGATATTATTATATTTGTTTAATTTTTATTAAATTTTTAGTACATGTTACCACTTACATAATGATCTCTCCATCATGTTTTAGGTGTGTCTCTTAATAAGCAGTACATGGTTGAATTTTTAAAAGTCCTTATGAGAATCTCTGTCTCTTAGTAGGCAAGATCAATATATTAATATTTATATACTTTGATTATTGACCTGTTTGGACTTTTCTCTACCATTATGTTGTTTTCTATTTACCATTCTTTAATTTTGATTTTTTTCTTCTCTACTTTCTATTAGGTTGATCTAGTTTTTTATTTTATTTTATTTTATTTATTTATTTACTAGAGAGGTTGAGAGAACATGGGAGAAGGGGCAGAGGGGGAGGGCAGGGGGAAACGGAGAGAATCTCAAGCCAACTCCACACTGAGTACAGAGCCCAATGGAGGGCTCATCTCATGACCTGAGCTAAAACCAAGAATCGGTCGCTTAACTGACGCCCCTAGGTTGATCTAGTTTTAAAAGTATTTTCCTCTTGGGCGCCTGGGTGGCTCAGTTGGTTGGACAACTGCCTTCGGCTCAGGTCATGATCCTGGAGTTCCGGGATCGAGTCCCACATCGGGCTCCCTGCTCAGCAAGGAGTCTGCTTCTCCCTCTGACCCTCCCCCCTCTCATGTGCTCTCTCTCTCTCTCAAATAAATGAATAAAATCTTAAAAAAAAAAAAAGTATTTTCCTCTTTACTCTCTACTAGAACTTTGCTATCTGCCTAGGGTTAGGATAAAAATTTAAAAGTCCCTTTTGAGAAATTAAAACCACAAGCTTCCCTACTGCTTTCCCAGGCTGAGTGGTTGGACTTTTCTACTCTTTTCATACTTTAAGGGTCTTCATTCAAGGACATTACTTGGGTCCCCAGAATCTGTGTTTCAGGAAGCTCAGGGAGATCCTTTATTCAGCTTCTAAGCTTGAACAGAGAGGGTGGCCAAGAGCCTGGGCTGGGCTCAGGGCCAGGTCTTTGCCCAAGATGGGGGATCAATATGACAGACAAAGACACCTGAAGAAAACCTTGAACAAGAACTATGTAGACCATCAAGTGAATC